TCGCTGACCCTCACATTGCTATTACTCTTTTTTAATTATTAGTTGTATATATATCTATCTTTATATATATATATATATATATATATATTTCAGCTCAATTTGTCTTCCTCCCTTTTTGCATCACCACTTTTTAATTTTTGTTGAGACTCTATTTCCGAGCTTCCATCTCATATTTTTTATGTTACTCATGTTTCTTAACTTTACTTTTGCGGGTTGTTGAGATGTATTTTCAATTTTAAAGAAAAAAAATATAACTAAAGGTTTATTATTATAAATAAATATTATAATTTGATTAATTAAAAAATCTTCTCATTCTCTCCCTCTCCTTTTTTTACTTTCATTTTTTTCAACCTAAACACACTATTAGATTTAAAAATATATATATAATAAATTAATTAATTAATAATCAAACGAGAATAATCAAGGGGTTAAAAGATTGCATCAATTAGGCTAGGGTTCCTAAGTTTAGGCACCTAAGGTTAAAAAAAAAGTAGAGGAGAGATTGTCTTTATGCCTCAGATTGCTGCAGCACCCAACCCTCCAAAAATAAAAAATAAAAAATAAAAAATAAATAAAACCCCATTTCTTCTCTCAATTTGAGTCAAGGTAAGAACTTGACTTTTTTTACCTTCCTGATCTCTTTAAAGAAAGAATATTTGGAACCAAAAGCGCGTTCAACAGTCCCAGAATTTAAGAGAAATTGCAGAGCTCGCTGCTGTCCTTCATTCCTCCTCAATCCGTGACTTTTCTGCTGTGCAGGGGTAAGAAATCAGCCACTAATTCATCCTTTCATCTCTAAATTAAATTGAGCTGACTCTAATCCTTCATTCCTTTCGATTTAGGGTGGCTTTCCATAGGTTCCTCTCCGTTTCTGCTCAATTTCTACAGCCACCATATCCGAACTTCTCAACAGGAAATTCTGGTATGTTAACAGCCTTTTTGGGTCCGAATTTTATTCCTATTTAATCGCTGTGGTGTGTTAGTTGCTGGGTTGTTAAACCATTAAAAGAATTTACAAGAAAGTAAGGAATTATTCTGTTTAGTGTTAAATTGTAGTTAGGGATTTTAATTTCTTAAACACTGAACCTTTGAAGTTAAGCCGTTTGTCCATGAAATCTACAACTTGCCATTGATTCTAAAATATTAGTCATAGTTTTGAAGTAGATTGTTCATGTTTTGATTGGCTTGTAACACTAGAGTTAATCTAGTGTGCTTAAACTGCCCTCGAACCACAAAGGGAAAACCAAAACAGAAGAAAGGAATCTGATCCAAAGGTATTGTCTTTTCCATGAAGGTTAAAAAAATACAACTCAAACTTAATTTTAATAATGGATTTGCAATCTCATTAATTTTTAGCATGTGTTTTGATTGGCTCGTAACACTAGAGTTAAGGCACTTTAATTTCCATTTAAGATGTTACCTCATGCTGCAAGAATCATCTTTCCGTCCAACATCTTTTTCAAGATGACTCTTTTTATTTTTTCTCTGAGGAAGAATAATTTACCTTTTATTATGTTCATTTTTTCCTATATAAAGGAAGCAAGTTTCTGAAGTCATGCGTGTATCCGTGTCCAAAATGTTTATTAGAAGGCATCCAAACGACAACATTCCAGCCACAAATAAGGCCCCTGCCCCCAACAGCAATGGAGCTGTGAAGCCGGTGCAGACCCCAACCCCCACCTCTGGTATTCCCACCGGAAACATCAACGTAGGTCCCGGTGCTGGAGCTTACAACACGGGTGGACAATCCGCGAGTATAAACGACAACATGGGAGCGATCAACTTCAATAGGCGTGGCCAGGAGACAGTTCCACCTAATGGAAATCTCAACAAAGGCCCTGGCGCCGGAGGCATCAACTCAGGCACTGAATCAGCAAGTATCAATGGCAACCAAGGAATTATCAATTTCTAGTATTCCACATCGAATGAACAAACAATTGCTGCTCTTTTGCTTGCTTCTTTGTTATAACAGTTTCACGAATAAATTGTCCTTGTTCTCAAGTACACAAATAAGCTAAATTACACAAAGCAAGCCCTGGTTTTGGACTAGCTCCTCCATGTTCAAAATAAGAATTTAGGTACAATATATATTTATTTATGTTATTCTTACATATGGCTCATTTCGATTCAGTAGCATTGGATGTTGAGTTGTTCATCTCCTGTGGGTTACACGTTCGAATCTCATGGAAATCTTTTCTTTCATTCCTCAATTAACTTATAAATAATTGCAATATGTTCAAAAAAAATTTATATTATTCTTACAAAAAGTTAAAAATAAAAATATATTTTTTAATATTTATAAATAATGAATACACCTGTGCTCAATGCTTACCCCGAATTTATATGCTCGGGCTAGCCTTTTAGCTTGATTTAGCACATTAGATTTAGGGGACTAAATTCCATCTTAAAGAAATAAATTAATTAGTTAACAATCAGATGGGACTAAAACTAAAAGGGGTTTAACGATTGGATCAATTAGACTACGGTTCCTAAGTTTAGGGACTTAAGGTAAAAAAAATGTAGAGGAGAGAGATTGTCTTCATGCTCCGGACAGCTGCAGAACCCAAACCTCCAACCAAAAAAAAAAAAAACATTTCTTCTTTGAACTTGAATCAAGGTAAGAACTTGACTCTCTTTCCTTCCTCTTCTCTTTAAAGAAGGAATTTTTGGAACCAAAAACGTCTTTAACAGTCCTAGAATTTAAGAGAAATTGCAGAGCTTGCTGCTGTCCTTCCTTCCTCCTCAGTGTGGGTGTCCTTTTCCAATTTTTCTGGTAAGAAATCAGATGCTTTAATCTCTAAATTGAGTTGATCTGACTCTATTCCTTCATTCCTTTCCATTTAGGGTGGCTTTCCATAGCTTCCTCTCCGTTGCTGCTCAATTTCCACAGCCACCATATCCGACCTTCTCAACAGGAAACTCTGGTATGTTAACAGCCTTTTTTGGGTCCGAATTTTAGTCCTCTTTAATCGCTGTGTGTGTTAGTTACTGGGTTGTTAAGGCATTAAAAGTATTTACAAGAAAGTAGGAATTATTCTGTTTAGTGTTAAATTGTTGTTAGGCATTTTAATTTCTTAAACACTGAATGTTTGAGTTTAGCTGTTTGTGCATGAAATCCACAACTTACCATTGATTCTAAAATATTAGTCATATTTGTGAAGTGGATTGTTCGTGTTTTGATTGGCTCGTAAGGGTAGAGTTAATCTATTTTGCTTAAAATGCCCTCCAATCACAAAGGGAAAAACAAAACAGAAGAAAGGAATCTGATTCAAAGGAATTGTCTTTTCCATGGAGGTTAAAAAAATACAACTCAATATTAACTTTAATAATGGATTTTCAATCTCATTAATCTCTAACATGCCATTGCATCTCTGCTTTTCATCACTCAGACAAATGAAACTTCAGAATCACACAAAGAGAAAATCCTTGTCCCCTGTAGTCTAATGACCAATACCACCATGAATGAACACTTAATTTGTAGAGCATGGAATGAAGCAATGAAATGAGTCCAGGAAAAGTTATTAAGGGCCCATTGGGTATTTATTTGAGATTTTGAGAGATTTTGAAAGGCCCATTGGAAATTTATCCAGGATTTGTTGAAGACTTTAACAATTTTTATAATACAGTAAGATTCAGGCCAGAATTGGAAGTCTGGTGATATGTATGTGTTCAGGTTTGGTGTTACTGAAGATGTCATTGGAGTCAGATTCTTTATGTTTATGCATTCAAATATATCTTATGGTCATTAAGTAATCAATCTCACTTTCTGCTGGATTGTTTTCCTGGCATTGTGGTTCATGTAGCCCATCTTTTGTTTTTAGTAAAAATGCATTAATTTTTTTCAAGTAGTCTACATGCTAGCATAGCTTCCATCACATACCCTTTCCATGAGTTGAAGTTTGCATGGTTTACTTCCTGTCATGAGTTTCATTCTCTCTTTCCTACATTTTATGTGGTCTATTGGATTTGATCCAGAGAACATAGTAGAAAGAATAAAGACTTTAAAAGATAATACTCAAAAAATGTTAAAAGAAGTAAAAATCATAAAATATTAAACTAATGAATAAAATGTTTTAACAATATCATTTGGTTGTTTGAATTGCTTTTCTTGAGTTATATTTGCTTGTGTTTTGTCATCGAATTTATACCCAATGTTAAAGTATGTAACTGTGTTTTTTCATGGAGGTTGTGGGGTGCACGTATGCCCTTCCCCATGCCTAACCATATTCCTGGACCTTGAATCTTTGCATAGACCATGTTTATGTGACTTGCTCCCCCTTATAATATGAGTGAGGTAATTCCTTGTTTCCACATTTTCACACTTAATTTTCATTTTTTAATTTAAGTGTTTGTCAGTGGTGAGACAAAACTTTGAATTGGAGCTTGGTCTTTTGAATGAGATTTGTTTGGAGATAAGTTGATTAACTTAATTTTCACACAGCTTTCGTTCTTTCTTTCTTTCTTTTTTTTTGGCTAGTTGATCTGTTTCACCGAAGGTCAGTTGAGTAGACTTGAATTTGTCTGGTTTGCTGGTAATGTGCCAGACCTTCTCCCACGCAAACAATAAAGTTTTCTACTTATTCTTTTCTATTGGATTGTGTCCTGTGACTATTTCTTTCAATAAATGCTTGGTTGAAAATGTGGGTTTCTAAAAATATCTGTTAAACTATATTTGCAGTTGCAATATCGTTGGAATTGGGATGGTATTTAAATTGACGTCAAGAATACTGATTAATCCACTCGTCATCAGCAGATTCTCATTTCAATTCCTTGTGGGGTCATATACAAGATCTTTTGTTTGCAGATCTTTTGCTGGGTTTCAAGAACCAGATAGATTATGCAAACCCGTAAGTTTTTGTTCTAGTACCCTTTCAGCTAGGTTATGTTGGGAAAATTCCTCCCATGCGATTCTGTTACAAAAGCTTGAAAGTACCTTGAGGGAACACAAAGTGGGTGAAGCATGGGAGTCTTTCAATGATTTTAGAAGGTTGTATGGTCTTCCCCATACTTCTCTCGTGGCTAGGTTGGTCACTGAACTATCTTATGCATCAAGCCCAAACTGGCTGCAAAAAGCTGGTGATTTGGTTATAGCAATATTGAATCTGAAATGTGATTTTCTTCCGCCTGTTATCTTGAATAAGGCAGTCCTTTCTTTAGCAAGAGCTCAAATGCCTATCCCTTCCTCCATGATCCTTAGATTGATGCTAATAAAAGGGATACTACCCCCCATGAATGTATTGTGCTTGGTGGTTCTGCACATGGTGAAGACAGAGGTTGGGACATGTATTGCTTCCAATGTCTTGGTCCAGATTTGTGACAGTTTCCTACACTTAAGCACAGAAAAAGGCAAGCATGCAAAGGCAATAAAACCTGATACGATGATATTTAACCTTGTGCTTGATGCTTGTGTTAAATTTGGATCATCTCTTAAAGGCCAACAGATTGTGGAATTGATGGCAAAAACTGGGGTTGTTGCTGATGCAGACTCAATCATAATCATTGCCAAAATTCATGAAATGAATGGGCTTAGGGATGAGATTAAGAGATTTAAAGATCATATTGATCTTGTGCAAATTCCTTTTGTTTCTCGTTACTGCCCATTCTATGATAGTTTGTTGAGTTTGCACTTTAAGTTTGGTGACATTGATGCAGCTGCTGAGCTTGTTCTGGAGATGACTAGACGGCAGGAGTCTTGTTCTAACTTCAAACCTATGAAAAACCTCCAGAAGCCTTGTATTGTTCCAATTGGGTCTGAGAAACTCAGGAACGGTTTGAAGATTCAGATTTTGCCTGAGCTGCTCAAGAAAGATTCTGCCCTCCAGGTGGAAACTAAATCAGCTCTTGTTATCTTTAAGGATGGAAAACTTCTTCCCAGCAACAAGGCTCTGGCCAAGCTTATCCTCGGATACAAGAAGCAAGGGAGAATTAGTGAGCTTTCAGAGCTTTTGGTCTGCTTAAAAGCAGAGTTATGCTCAGGCAAAGGATCTAATCTTTGTGATGATGTGCTTGATGCTTGCATTGAATTAGGTTGGCTGGAAACTGCTCATGACATTTTAGATGACATGGAATCTGCAGGGAATCCCATGGGCTCTAGTACATATGTAGCACTCTTGACAGCTTATTACAAACAAAATATGTCCAGCACAGGAAATGCTCTCCTAAGAAAAATAAGGAAGCATGGGTGGATTACAAATTTGTCAAATGAGTCAGTCATCTCTGCATGTCTGTCAAAAGTATCAGATAAAAGTCCTCATTGTACAAATGTATTTTCTTTTATTAGTCAATCAAGTTTGCATGAGTCTCTGGTTCGAGAAATACAAGAGGAGGAAATGACAATTTCTCCTAGTGTTTTTCAGTTGAATTCATCAATTTACTTTTTCTGCAGGGCTAAAATGATAGAGGATGCTTTGAAGATATACCGAAGAATGCAAGAGATGAAAATCCGGCCTACAGTGCATATTTTTTCTCATCTAATCGATTGTTATTCTTCCTTGCATATGCATCGTGATATTACCATTCTATGGGGTGACATTAAGAGAAACATGGACAGTTGGGATTTAGTTTGTAGGGATCTTTATGAGTTTCTTCTAATGAGCTTTCTGCGAGGTGGTTACTTTGGGAGGGTGATGGAGATCATTGGTTATATGGAAAGGCATGGCATGTACATTGACAAGTGGATGTACAAGAGCGAGTTCCTGAAGCTCTATAAGAATCTTTACAGGAGCTTAAAAGCATCAGAGGCTCAAACTGAGGCTCAGGCCAAGAGACTTGAGCATGTTCACGCATTTAAGAAATGGGCATGCATTGACTGAAGCTTTGTTCAAAGTTTTGTAGCTTTTGAAGGGTAGTTGCAAGAAAGGTTGTTGATAAGGTAGTCTTCTATTGTCAAGAATGACTCCTGTACCTTAAAGAGTTGAAGCTGTAGTACTTGGAAGTAACGGTTCAGAGTAAGGAGTAATTGAGCACTTTAATCCTTTTGAATGCTTAAAGGATCCAACTTGGGTTCCCCATCCTGGAAATATATAAATTGTTCGAAGTCTATATAGTTGTGTAGAGCTTTTCCTCGTGGTATTTTGCTATTGTTTACTCTATATTCGGAACTTTTAAAAGGTTTGGAGTACCCTGCACCTGGCCAGTGGGCTTTGACCACCTTAAGGTG